GGGGGAGAGACCCCTCAAGGTTCTGGGAAGAGAAGGAGACAAATGACAAAGTGGTGGGCTCACGAAAGGGACCTGTGACAAATGACTGGAAGGACTGGGTGGACAGATGGAGAGGAGCAAAGGCCCCTGTCCTTTTATTGGAGAACTCCTTGTGGCTCCCTGAACAAGACAGTGGCTCCCCCGGGGCTGGGCTGAGGGTTGGTCTCCCTGGCTCTCTCTGCTGGGATGAGTAATATGGACCAGGGCAGAGGGTCTATATCAATCTAACCCAGCAGAAAAATGAATGAAAATTGAATTCCCCAAGGAGAATCGGGGAGCTGTTATCCAGACAAAGATAAATCAAAGGATGCCACAGAGACTGGGAGAGCAGGTTTCCAACGGCAGGAGAATAATTAAGGAAACAGTTTCAAAATGTAAATGATAAAAGAGGGTTTAGGAGGAATGAGGACAAGGAGGAGATGATGGAGATAGGGTGATGGGGAGCAGGGGCGGGTGAGTTCGCTCCCCTGTGGAGAAAGGGGCCGGGGCTCAGGATTGCTGGCGTCTGAGGGTGCGCTCCCCCCTCGGTGAAGCCCCTAAAATGTAAAGGTTAGAGGACTCCCCAGTCAGCTGTGGGGAGTGGAAAGAGCACCAGATTGGGAGTCAAAGGCTGGATTTAATTTGCAGTGGGCTTTGCAACTTATTAGTAGAGTGACCTTAGGCAAACCACTTAACCTTTCTGTTTCCTGATCCTCATACCCAAGCCCAGGCCTGATCATAAAGATCAAATGACCTAAAATATGTGGAAGAACTTTGAAAAAATGTGGAGTGCTAGACAAATGCACGCTACCATCCTTTTCCTAAGTTCAGTTTCTGGAAATCCTTCCCTCAGAATTGGAACCACTGACATGTTGGGTTTGGTTCCCAGAAATGTAACGTGTAAATGTCCAGCAGGTGCCGGATACTCTTACCGACGTATTGACTGTCCGCCCTGACGGAACGGAGACCTGGGGGAGCCACCTCCCAAAGGCACAGGTCTGAGGGATGCTGCTCCTTGGAAGTCACCTGCCAGCCCTGGGCATCTTTTCCTGAGAAAAGCCCCCTTGAGTCAGCTCAGAGGTTTAAGTCCAAACAACAGGATGCAATATTGTGAGATGTTAAGTATAGGAAAACGTTAGCAGTGGTAACCACCACCTGAGTGTCTATCTGTGGGACTCAGCTAGTCCCCATTCTCTGGGGACAGAGACTAGCTTAGCTAGCCTCAGTTTTTCCCTCCACCAAGTAGGTGTAATCAAACCACTATTGAATTGTTGTGAGGAGTAAAACTATGCAGGTAGAAGCACTTACCTTGGGACCTGGCACAGTTTTAAACTTTCAGTAAGTGTTGGTTGTTTTTATGACCATGGTATACCATTATGTTGTTGTTGTTATTACTGTCAGCAGCAGTGGGCACTAAAAATCGACTTAAGGAAGCTTTTTATTGGGTTTTCATCATTAGCTAGGGAAGTGGGGACCAGGAGGGGGGTAAAATGCCTTGGCAGATGCAGATGTTAGTAGAAGACTGTGGGAATGGGACCCAGTTCTCACCAGGAGGCAGATGCCTCTGGAAAAGTCTTATAATATGGAACTGTTGGCTGAGCTGCCGACCACAGGTTCCAGGACTGAGGGCCCAGTGGACCTCCTAAGGCTCTTCTGCCATCCAGAAGTGACAATGGCCTCCCCTGTACCAGGGCTGGGCACAGGAGGGTCCCCACCACAGTAATGCTGCCCCTCCCCCAGCCACAGGCTAGTGGCATGTAATGAGGAGAGGGGAGGACCTGGGCAGCTTCATACCAGGGGAGCAGGAGCAGCAGAGAACATTTGAAAACTATAATTCTAAATTATAAAAGTAATTGCCACACAGGCTCCACATTTCGCTGCATATAAATATTTTATCTTTTAATAATAGTACTAAAAAAATATAACCACTTTACAGGAAATCTGGGAAAGAGAAAAAAGAAGAAAAGCTCCGTAATATAGTATACTTTTTACCCTAACGTAGTTTTGAATAGTATTTGGATATCTTTCCTTTCATTCCACCCCCCCCCCCAATGTTTTTGAAAACAGTATTTTGTCAGTTTTTTTTTTCTGTTTGATAAAATAATGTGCTATTGAGGAAACTGAAAAAAAAAAAAAACAAAAACAAAGAAAAGAAAAATATCCACTGTACAGATAATCACTTTTATTTTTCAGCATATTTTCATCTATGCTTCTCTTTTTAAAATATCTCAAAATTCATATTGCTTCATATTCTCTTTTTCCCTCCTAATAAGTCTCAAACACTTTTCTACATTGCTAATATCCTTCTGGTATATTTTCTAACGATTACATGGCATTCCATTTTATTTACTCAAATTTATTTAATAATTCCCTATTGTTGGATATGTAGGTTATTCTCTTTTTAAAATGTTATGAAGTTCCTTGTAACTATATCCTTATAAATATTCTCGATTATTTTCTGCAGATAATTTTCTACATGAATTGGGTCAAATTTTTAGGCTACAAAACATATCGCCAACATGCCCTCAGAAGACACTGCCCCTTTTTGAATTCCCATCAGAATATTGTTTTCTAATTTCTGAACATCCTCATCAACAGTGGGTATTATCACTGCTAACGTTTTTCTATACTTAAAATCATACAATATTACATCCTGATTTTTAAAAATCAGTCTTCATTTCCATGTTGCTAGATTTCATAATTAGTTTTAATAATTGTATAACAGAGTACCAAACAAATTTAACTTATTTCACTAAACATCTTTTATTTTGTGGGGCATTTAGGTTATTTTTCTCCAAAACATAATGCTGTAATAACATCTTCATGTATGAAGCTATTTTTTTCAATGTTATTGTGTGTACTAGTGGAATTGCATGAGCTAAAGGGTATGAAAGTTTTATGGATTTGGTACAAATTGCCAGCTTGCTTCCCACATGGACTTAAGAGTTTATAACGCACACCAGCAATATTTGTGAGAGTAGCAGATGGCCATTTAACAGATGAGAGGAAGTATGTACTGTGATGTTTTATTTTGCTTGTCTTTGATTGCTAACAGAGGCTGGCACTTCCTCGTGTTTGTTTACTAGTTATATTTTTGTGGAAAACACTGAAAATGTCACGGGCTGGAGTCACCTCGCAGGTAAACCGGGAAGAAAGTGTGCCAACCCCGTGCCAGTAGCCATAGAAGTCATTGTGACACTGAAGACAAATGCTAAGTGCAGGTGAACGCGCCATCATGCTCGTCCCTCCCCAACCCTAGTGTCCCCTGTCTGGGGACAACACCAGGAAACAACAAAAAACAACAACAACAAACGGGACGTGCGGGAAGGCTGGAGAGGGTACACAGTTCCTCTTCCCACGCGAGCTGGACCTCACTGTGCTGGGAGGACACATCTGCCTGCATCTCTAGAACGAAAAATGCAGAAGGGGCTGACGCACGGGCCGGGACCCGGAGAGCCGCTAGTTCCCTGCGGCATCGGAGCTGGGGTTCCCGAGCCTGCAGTCAGGCGGCGTCGAGTGGCTGATGAAGCCTCAGAGAACCTCCACGGAGACCGGCTCCGGCAGCGGGCCTCCGCTTGATCTCCTCCAGGAACCTGCGTGGGGAATGTGAGCGTTGATGTGTGTCTTGTCAGTACAATCAGCAGCACACGTCCCCTCGCTGCTGAGCCCGGGTGTCCTGCTTGCAGGCGAGAGGTGGAGGTTTTTTTCAAAGCGCCCGCGGTTGCAGCGGGCTGCGCAGAGCGGGCTCTAGGGACCGAGGGCAGGACCACGCTGAGCGGACCAGGGCTGAGCGGCCCGGGAGGCCCTGTCGCCCCAAAGCAAGGGGCCCCGACGGGTGGAGAAAGAGGGTAGAGCGGACCGCAGGCCGCGGCACGAGGGGGGCGCGCACTGTGGCCTGCGCTCCCCCGCGACCTCCGCGCACAGCCCCCGGCCCCTTCCCCGGCCCGCCGCCGCCGGCTGCGTGATGCGCGTTCCAGGCGGAGGGCCGGCTGTCCCTGGCCCAGCCTCAACCAGACGCGGGGGAGAGAGAGCAAAGCCTGGGGAGCGCCGGAGGGAAAGGAATTGGCCAGGGATGAGAAAGGAAGAGGGGGATGGAGCCCGCTGATTACGGAGTGCGCTCAGTCCGGCGGAGGGAAGCCTGGGACCGAGAGCGCGCGAGGGAGAAGACGTCGCGGTGCAGCCCGGGCCACCGGAGGGTCTGCCCCGCCCCTCCTCGCCCCTCTCGCCCCTCGGTTGGAATGGAGGCGCTGGGAGGACGCGAGCCGCCGGCCGGATCGAGAACCCCCGGAGGGCCCCGCGAGAACCCGCCAGCCCTGAGCGCCGCTGTCCGGACCACCTGCTGCCGCTGTCCAGACCGCCGCAGTATTTATACACCCGGAGCGAGCCGCGGGGCCGGGGCCAGGGTGGGGGTGGGGGACTGCCCGAGAGGCCCCTCCCCACTCCCTGCCGCCCCGCCCTCCCGCACCGTCGGCCCCACTTGGGGCGCCAGGACCCCCCACTCTGACCGGTGTCCGCCGCTCCCTGCCCGGTGGGGGAATTGGCTGGAGGGCGGGCCTCCCTGCGGAAAGCGACGTCATGGCCGTTCCTGCAGTGTGAATGAATCAAACTGCCTGGGTGACCGCGGCCTCCCCGGCGTCCGGCACGCGAAGGGTGGAGGGGGAGGGGGAGAGAGGCGGGCGGGGGAGGGAGGAGGGGAAAAAAGCCAGGGCTGCAGCAACAGCGTCTCGACCGGGATGTGCACCTACCCGGGAGAGCGAGATCAAAGGGATTTGAAACAGACTGAGGACTGGCGGGGGGAGGGGGGCAGCCAGCCTGTGGAATCCTCCTGGAGAGGCGGAGGGTCTTGCTTCCGCCGTGACTTCGGCGGCCTGGTTGGGCTTTTTATTATTTTCAAATTCCTGAATCCAGCTTGAGAGAGAGAGAGAGCGAGAGCGAGAGCGAGAGATCTTCGTAGACTGCGACTCGCTGGCTCTCGCTCCGAGATGATGCAGAGCGCAGCTGTCCCCGCGGAGGGGGCTGTCAAGGGGCTCCCGGAGATGCTTGGTGTGCCGATGCAACGTAAGACACCCCCCTTTCTCGCTGATTTAATTGAATAACAAGACAGCCGGCAGCCCCGGCTGGTGCGGCTGGTGCGGGGCGGGCCGGACGCTGCGCGCAGCCTGGACCGAAGGGGCCGGGCGGGGCGAGGGGCAGCCCGGGCGCAGAGGCGGTCACAGGGCAGGGGCGAAGGGCCTGGCTCTTGGCTTTTGGGGCAGAAAGTGAAAGCCTTCCAGATCCGAGATTACCGAACCCGGCATCCCCAGCCCATGGCTTTTCTAGGACCATTGGGGACAGAGTGCTGTTTGGGGACACCAGGGGAACAAGCTGCAGGGCAGGCCTGAGGGCTGGGTGGTCTCCCCAAATCACCCTCGCTCCCACCCCGCCGGGGGCTACTGCCAAAGCTCCCAGCATAGCGATAGCAACTTCACCCTCGCTGGCGGGACGCTGGAGAGCGCGTCCCTCGCCCCCCACCTCCCCGCCCCGCGGGCTGGCAGCGCCGAAGCCCAGGTCGCACGTTCTGTCCCCGCGCGCAGAGCACGCGCGCCTGGTGCGTCCCTGCCGCTCGCGGCGCCCGCCGCTGGTGCCGCTGGTGCCGCCTGCGCCGCCCAGGCCGCCTGCTCCTAGAGGGGAAATCCACTCGCCATGTTCCATCTAGCCAAGGAGTGCGAAGAGGGAGAAGCACCGAGGCGAAGTTGTGAACTCAGGGAACCGCTTGTGTGCAGGCGAGGGTGGGCTCTCGGGAGGTCTTGGGCTCGGAGGGGAAGAGACCAGGGTGTATACGCGCTTTGCTCCTCTCCCCCTGCTTTCTTTCCCGCGCCCGAAATTAGCAAGGCGGCGGGGGCTCCGGGCGTGTTTACCTCCGGGGTGTGTGTGTGTAGGTGTGTGTGCGCGCGCGCGCAGGGATTTTCCCGGAGGGAATCTGTCTCCGTCCCCCACTCCGGGACCGAGAATCTGCGGTAGAGAATCTGTGTGGAACCCCGAGCAGGTCCTAAGCGTCGAGCTCCTAGTGGGGACAGTGCGAGTCCTGCTCCGCAGGCTGGCGGGCTTTTCGGGACGCCCCTGGGCACCGCGGAGAGACGAAAGGTCCTTTCACTCTGCTTGCCACTGGGGCTGTGCTTCCGCCCCGACTTCTTTCGTGTAGATTTCTTTTATGTTAAGGACCGGTTCATCCAAGGATGCTGCCCACCGATGAACTAGGGCGCACGAGCGCGCCCTCCTGCGCCCCGGGTCACCACGGCAGGGTTTCTGTCCCGGCCAAACCTCCAAAGGCAGGCTGACTAGCGTGTGTTCTGGGCTTCCCGCAAGTTTCTGAGAAAGGACTAGAAGAGCATAGCTTCTCCCAAAGCTACTTAGGTTGTTTCTTCACTAATATCCTACAGTTATCCTTTGTGCCTAATCTTGTCAGGTATGGACAGCTTCACGTCTGCGAGGTGCCTTGTGGAGTTTGCTGACCAAGGTGTGTCTATAGGAGGTTTTGGGGGTTCACTGCCCCCTTACTGTCCCCACCCCACCACCGGCAGAGAAGGAGCGGGTTCTCAGCCCCTGCACAAACACAAGCCCTGGCAAAAGTGCTCCAAGTCCCTAAACCAGCGGTTCTCAACCTGTGGGTCGCGACCCCTTTGGGGGTCGAACGACCCTTTCACAGGGGTCGCCTAAGACCATCGGAAAACACATATATAATTACATATTGTTTTTGTGGTGAATCACTATGCTTTAATTATGTTCAATTTGTCACAATGAAATTGGGGGTCACCACAACATGAGGAACTGTATTAAAGGGTCCCGGCATTAGGAAGGTTGAGAACCACTGCGCCTAAACTGATTGCAAGATCGTAAGCATGTGCGCGCCTGACCCCGTTCCCCAGCGCTCTGTGCTCTAACAGTTGTGGCCCGTAGGTGGCCTGTCGGTTAGGACTGGAGCGCAGGATGGGTAGGGAGGCCCTGACAGCCTTTCTCAGATGGTCTCACTTTTTGCGTCTCTTATCCAGAGACAGCTTTGATTTCCACGTCAGGAACTCGATTTCCTAAAATGCCTAGAACTTGCCTTTAAAGCTACAGTTAGCCTGGGCTCCTCCTCTGGGTTGGAAGTGTGGGAAACCATGGGGTAGAAAAAGGGGACTCCTCCAGGGCGGCCCAGGGAGGCAGTGCCCAACCAGGAGGGGGTGGCCTCTCTCTCCTTTTGTCTTGCCCAGGGCCTGTGGCTGTGGCCTGGGAGACTTTGGGATGCAGCCTTTTCTTTTCTTTTTTCTTTTAGAATGTGTGTGGATTATACCCAACCCCATTGCAGCAAATCTGGCCGCTGCCTGTTAGTTAAGCTGTTGGTGCTGGGAACTGGGCATGGATGGGGCAGGGTCCCCTCACACACCTACACAACAGTTCTCTTTTCCGGGACAGGGGCCTGTGGCCTAAGAACTTCATGTGGGGGTGAGGTTCTTGGGCCTCAGGGAGGAAGGGTGATCCCAGCCTGTGGGTGTTTAAACGTGGGTCTGTGGAGAGGAGACCCCAGATAGGTTCCCAAATAGGGTCCCTCCATCCCACCCACTGGAAGGTTGGGGTTGCCCCCCCACACACACATACACATGCCCTACTCCTTCACCCTGAGCCACCACACTTGAAGCACTTGGGGCACAGGCTTAGGGATCCCCAACCTTGGTGCCTCTGGGGCTCTGGACTCCAGAATGTTCTTTGGGGATGGGTGAGGTGCATGCACGTTCCCTTGCCAAGTAATGTAATAATTTCTCCTCTCCACGCGATCCTCTTCCTTACACTGTGCCCGCCTCCCACGCTGCTGGCTCCTGGAGGATCTGGTTGATGAGGTGGCCCTCCTCCTGTTTCCAGGCGCAGAGGTGGCACGGCGTTGGGGCCTCGAATCCCCACAGCCCTAGGGCTCGGGATCAGGCCCCACAGGTCTGGGACTTTGCCTAACTGGAAGGTGGGATTAATCGGTTTGAGGGGGTGGCCTGGGACAAGAAGCTCAGGAAGAATCAGGCAGAGGCAGCTGGGAATCACCCAGGAGCAGCCTGGGGTGGAGAAGCAGAGCCCCAGCCCCCTAAATCCCAGCCCCATCCCGCCTCCCATTAGTGTTTCCCAAGGAGCCCAGAACCCCCTTCCTGGCTCCGGGTGGCAGGAGCGCTCTGTGTGCGGGAGCGGGCACCGTGGGGTCACGTCCAGTAAGAGTCCAAGGCCCTTTTGCCCGTTTGAAAGGGGTCAGTGTTTTTTTTCTTTCTCGGGCCCTTGGACTATGATTTAGGGTCGCAGGTCCCTCTGGGTCCAGGCACATCCTGCCTCTATCCAGCGGTCCCCTCTGCCTCCCTCGGAGGGTAGGAGCGTCAAGGTCGGAGTCCTCACCGCGCCCGCCTGCCCCGCAGCATTGGTTGCCGTGAGCGCTCCCGCGCCTCCTCGCACCTTTCACCTCCCGAATAAAACAGTCCGCCCCCAGCACCTGTGTCCTGCGGGCCCCTCTTGCTGGCACAGGTGTGGAGGTGGGCGTCCTGTCGACCCCTTGCCCACGTTGTCTCCGGGGCACCAGGCTAAAGGACATCGGGCACCTGCTGCCCCGCATTACCCGCCGGGAGCGGGGCAGCCGGAGGGAGGAGCGCCCGCTGGTCCAGGCCGGGGCGGTAAATGGGGAGCAGGCCCGGTGCGTCTCCCGTCCTTCCTCGTCTCCTAAAATCTCTTCTGGCAGCTCTAATGAACCCGAAGCTGCGGGGAAAGGGCATTTGATTTTGTGTTCGGGAGGATCTGGGCGAAGGACTGCTCTGGGTGCCCCACTCCCCTTCTTCTCCTCCCGGGCTCCTGCGGGCGGTAAACCCCAGCACCTCGCAGGCCCTTTGGGAAGGGGTGGAACGGGCTCCGTTACCGCCGGGCGCGCTCTCGCACTCCGAGCCCCGATGCGCTCCTTTTCCCGTCCCCGCCTTTCTCGTGGTGCGGGACGGAGTGGGGAGACAAGAACACCATTAGATGTTCCATCAGATTCCGGTACAGATACTCAGATAGCTGCCTCTGACACCGCCAACCCCCTTCCCCGCCACCAACATTTCCAGGTGCGAGCCCACGAGGCGTCCCCGCCGGCAGGTTCGGGCCTCGCGGGTTACGGGTTCGGGTTCTCTCACCGCGCGGGTCCCGCCCCAGCCTCGGGCCGGAGCTGCGCACCACCCGGAGGGGATCTGGAGAAACGAGGTGACGCGGCTTGAGGCGGAGGAAGGCGGGGGGCGTCCGAGGGGTAGAGGCTCCGGCCTCCTCCGGTCCTCTGCCTCCATCAGAGAGGGCGCGAGGGCGCAGGGAGCCCTCCTGGGATGCCGCCGTCCCAGCGCTCCCCGGGAGACGCGTAAACGATTCAACCTGGGCCCTGAGTCCGCAGGTGAGGCGGGTGAGGGGCGAA